ACAGTCCAGAGCCAGGCGGCGCGTGTCGGATGTCTGTGGAAGGCCCGGGGTGCACTGTCATAAATAATCGTTGGGAAGCTCTGCACTTGGCACAGCTTGCAATGAGGGCCTCAAGGCAACGGGTCGCCATCGTTACTCGCAAATGCACTGATCCAAGCGGCATTCAGAGATTCCTGCACCGAGTGGCGCTTTGTGCTCAAGTTATGGGGACCCTTGCTCTCTGGCCAGTGAGATTCCATCCTTCTCCACTTCGGCACCCAGGCTTTCGGTAGGGAATATTACTGAAAGTGAAAGTTCCATTCTCTTTCACGAATATGGCTCTGGAAATCTGGCTCTATGGACACAGTCACGGCTTCATCCACGCAGGAGTTGCACACTTGGTTTCATTAATCCCTTTATCAGCCGCAAAGCATGCTGAGCTGTCCTCTCCGGGCGGGCGAGGGCTCTCTTCTGACCAAAGGCTGTGGGGAAGGGGTGTTGGGCAGCTCAGCAATTTACTTCTCCTAAGAGCTGCAGGCACAAATCCCCACCGTCAGGGCTGAAGGGAGCCACATAATGTGGGGAAATAAACCTGCTGCTGGAGCCGGCCGGCCGGGGGCTTTCCTCGGATCCTTTTTCTTGCTTGGGTGGTCTCTTGTTCTGGACTGGCAGGAGACGGGGGTCGAGATGCAATTAAAGAAGAATCTGAGATTGGCACAATTTATCTTTAATTCAGACAAAAACAAGACCACCCAGGCTGGTGCCCAGCAGCATCCTAAAGGATAGAATAAGAAGATGGGGGGCAGGTTTGAGCGGCCTGTCCTTGCCCCTCACCTTCGGGGCCTCCTTCCTCTTCTAGATGGCCCTGGATGCTTATGTGCTGTTATAACACATAACGGAGCATATGGCCTCGCCTCAATATTCACTGTCCCCTTCAAACATGAAACCAGGGTCATCTGAGGCTGCAGACTCTGGGTGAAGCCAGCCCAGAGGTCTGTATATGTGTACAGGGGAGCATTGTTTTCATCCTCCTTAAAAAGCCCAAGATCTCTTGTTGCAGTGCTGGTCCTGAAGACAACCCAACCAGAGGCAGGGTTCTGCGGGCTGCCACAGCCCCGCCCCTTCCTGTCCTCGTCCCTGTGTTGCTGTACAGCTGTTGAACAGCTGTGGCTTCCCGGTCCAGAGGTGGACACTGCCCTCTTGGTGCTGCAGAATATCATTCTTGGGAGTGGAGACTGGGAGGAGGGAAGGGAAGGACTACATTCACTGAACACCTTTTAAATTCCAGACACCTAGCCACGCACATTATGTAAGAGTTATTTCTAATTCTTTCCAAGCTTCATATAAAAATTGGATAATTTATCCAAAGTCATAGCTACTAAATGGCTAAGCCGGGATTCAAACCCAAGTGTGTCTGACTACTTCAGTTTATTTGGTTAGATCATTTACACCCCCATAACAGTGAACACTAAAAGATCTGACAATATCCACTGCTGGTCAGCAGACAGGACGCAGTGACGGTCTCCAGGTACGGCCGCCGACACGCTCCTTCGTTCTGGGGCTCGTGCTGGTTCTCACAGGCTCCAGTTCCCTCTCCCTGAACCTAGGAGGGGCATTTGCACGTGTGGCAGAAGCAGCATTCTTGGGGCTCTGAGTCCAGCCTTAAATGGATCGCTGTCTTCTGGTCCCTTCCTCTGGAAAGACACTGTGCTGTAGAAAGTCTCAGGCTGGACAAGCGAATAGGGATCAGGGCCACGCGGAGGTGCACTGGTGTGCCAGGGTGACTAAAGCTTGAGGGACTTCCCAGCCCAGCCCAACCGCTAGACGGATGCAGTCTAACTCAAGTGACCCCAAAGAGCTACCCCACTGACCGCCATCAGCCACAGAATCATGAAAGATAACAAGTCGTCATTTGAAGTCAGTAGGTTGAAGGGTAGGTTTATGGAACAATAAACCGTATGACTAGGAAAGAGAAAAGGGTGTGGGGCCTCGGCAATGGGATGGCGAACCTCTCTGGTTCCTCCCATACCCTGCATTCCACTGTTAGCACTCAGTCTGGTGATTTGGGGCTAAAGGAAGTATCCCTGACTTTTCCTAACATCTGGAGAGATTGAAAATGTGTAAGTCAAAGTACCCTCAAATAAGCAAAATAGAGAATTACAGTATTTAAAGGGGGCACATGGTCTCAGCTACACAGCTCAGCACCAGTGTAGCTTTCCCAAATGAGAGGGGATGAGCAGGGGAGGGGAGAGGAGGGGAGGGGAGGGCCAAGGACCTAAAAAGTCGAGTGTGTGGAATCACCACATCGAATTCTCCCAAACCCAGCAGTGACTTTGCTTAGCTATGAGCAATAAGGGCTGTACAGAGGCGATTCCCTCAATTGGCTTTCAGTTTTAATAAAGGAGTCTGGCCGGAGCTGTAGATGTCCCCATGACAGCGCGAGGGCCAGCACGGCCCCCACCCACAGCCACAGCTGGGGCCAAAGAAGCAGACCCTGAATCTGCAGGGCTAAGATACGACATGGCATCTCTGCTGAGCACCGAGGCCTGTGTGATTCCAGAGCAAATTCTTTCTCAGAATTGACTACAAAACCGGTCACTCGTCAATCACGACCTGAATCTGGCTGCTCTGTTCCTCTCCCAAGAAAGCTTGTTTCCTTTTTTACAGTGCTTGCCTGCCTAGCCACTGCCCTAGCACGTCCGGTCGTAATGCCCTCGCTGTTTTCCTCAGTGAAAATCTGATCTATAAGTACTGGGGTTCTGGCCACCTTGTAGTCTTGCTTCCCAGGATGCTGGCCATCCCAGCTCCCCACTGCATTGCTGTTTGTCTCCTATTCTTTCCTTTCGCTGTGTGCCCTAACACCTCACAGGAAACTGGGGACTCACTGCAGGGGTGCCCAGCAAAGATGGCAATCAGCAACCCAGCAAGAAAATGGGCAAGTCCCAGAGTCTACACTCAAACCCCTGGCAAAGGTGGGAAAAGGTACTCGCAGCTACCCACAGTTAGGACAACACAAGCTAAGATAAGCAAATACTGCGTACTGACTTAAAGCACTGCTAATGCCTAATGCCAGGAGGATCTGGGAAAGGGGTACACTTGCAAATCGCCGTGAAAACGTAGATTGCTGCACCTGCAAGCAACCTAGCAGTGTCTGTTAAAAAGGCAGTACGTGTATACGACATGTCTCCTGCAGGCGCTGGTCACACCAGCACAAGCTGAAAGTCAAGTGAATGTAACTGACGAGGGAGCGCTGAATAAATTATGGTCCATCCATTCATGAAGAATTTTTATAGCTATTCAAAAGAGCAAATTTTTATAACACAGACATTTCATATATGGAAGGATTTTCCATGCCGTATTGATGAGAAAAGGATGATATATTTAAAAACGTGTACCCAGTATTGCATGGTCATATTTTTAAAAACAATGAGAAAGTCTCTCTCTGTCCATATGTGTGTGTGCGTGCACATATACACTTACGCTTAGGTGTCGACACACGTGTGTGTGGTGCTATAAGCGCATGGAGAGACGTGCGGGGGGCGGGGGGGGGAGCGCCTACCAAGCCATCAGCAGGCCTTACCTGGAAGGGGGAATTATGCAGAGAAAAAAGAGCAGGAGGCAGCGAAGTAAAAGCGACACGCGGCCACTAATAAACAGTATAATGATATCGTCTCACGTGTGCATTTAATGTAACTGTGTATAAAATTATATGTGCATATCTATGTGTAAAATGCAGCTGGGGCAAATGCAAGTTCCCGAGTTTATCCCTGGTAATATAT